CTACGTGCTGAGCCGCGAGGCCCTGCGCCGCTTCGTGGCTGGCTTCCAGACCCAGGTCTGCAGCCACACAAGCCCCGTGGAGGACCTGGCCCTGGGCCAGTGCATGGAAAAGATGGGGGTGGAGGCTGGTGACTCCCGGGATGCCACAGGCCAAGAGACCTTCCACGCCTTCCCGCCCGAGCAGCACCTGCGTGGCGCCTTCCCCAAGGACCCCTCCTACCTCAGCTACTCCTACTACCCCGTGCTGGGGGTAAGTGCCCCCAGGTCACCGCTGCCCCCCGAGCTTCCAGGGCACTTGTGGCTGCTCACTGCCCTGCCCCTCATTAATAAGCAGGCTCCACCTGTCCTCCATTAGCTCCACCCACTTGATAAGCACTGCCCAGTGGCAGTGCCCTGTGGGGGGGTCTGTGCCCCTAGGGTAGAGTCCCATCCTTGTCTCATCCTCAACTGTCCCCATCTTCCCCAGGCCCAGCTGGAGGGGAGGGGCGGTGATGCCCTGTGGGGCTCCTAAACAGGGCCTGGGTTGGGGGAGAGCGAAGCCCCCTCCCCAAGTCCGGAGTGATGGGGGCAGGGGGGTGAAGTCCCTTCACGACCCCATCGTGGTGCCACCCCCAGCTGTGGCTGCACTCAGCACAATGTGGCGAGGGATGGGGGGTAATAGAGTCCCCACTGTAGCACCAGGAACTAGGCGGTAGGAGTAGTGCTGGGGGGGGGTTATTGCCCCCCTACCCCAGCTCAGCCTGGCATCTCCCCCTGCCCCCTCAGGGCCCACAGAGCTGCTCGGACCTGACCATCTCCTTCCATTACGTGAGCCCGGAGCAGATGTATGAGCTGGAGTACTTCACGTGGCACCTCCGCGCCTATGGCTACCGGCCCCGGAGGCAGCCGGTGCCTGCTGGGCAGACTCCCCTTGCCACCGAGCACCGTGGGCAGCTGAGCCAGCCCACACCCCCCTTGCCACCGAGCACCGGGGGCAGCTGAGCCAGCCGGAGCGTGGACGGACGCAGGGGTCTGGGGTTGGCCCCTTTGCCCATGGTGCCAACCACAACCACGTGACTTATCTCCCTCGTTCCTAGTACTGGGGCCTGGGGGGCTCGGCCGGTCCCTGCGCCATCCAGATGCTACATGGCCACGGCCCTCCCTCACTGCCCCCCACTTCCGGAGCAGAAAGAAAAAGCCACAGGCGTGAGTCAGACATTACGTACTTACAGTTACAATCCAAGAGGTTCAAATGCTGTACATGGCCACGGTGGGCACCGGTGGCTGGACG